GCCTGTCGAATGAGTCCCTGCAATGCGAGAAGAGTGGGGGGGTCCGCTCAGTGTTCTATTGCTCGTCCTTGTCCTTAATTGTGAGTCCGGTTTGCCTTGTTGCTGATCTTCCTTCGGGGTCTTCTTGGCCTTCTGCCAGGGCACCTGACAGGAGACCTTAAAGACTTCATGATGGTGCCTGGTGCCAATTCTTCCACCTCAACCTGTTGTCAACTATCGTCGCCACCTTGCCCTTTAACAGCCAGTTCCTCATGAAGGCCTGTTTCTTGGTTGCTTGTCCTTCTGGTTTGTGTCTTATAGAGTTGACTATTCTCCACCATCTGCTTCTGATTTTCGTCTCTGCCATGCTCAGGAGTAATGATCACATTTCTTCCCTAGCCACCTCTGCACCCTCGATTGTCTGAGTGCATCTGCGTTTCCATATCACCCACAGTGCCAGCTTCCTGAGCAGGGTGAACCATACTTCCCTGCTGCCTGTGATGTTGCTGGGGATATTAGTTAGGATTAGGATAGAGAGAGGGGGAATGTCAGGGGGTGGTGAAGCGAACAGGATCGACCACAGCTCGCGGACCTTCTTCCATACCCATGTCGCTTTTGGGCAGAAGAGGAGGCAGTGTGGGATGTCTTCGGGAAAGTTGTTGCTGCACATTGAGCAGCAGTCCGTCATAATGTTTCCTTCTAGTATTTAGCCATTGGTTGACGGGAAGGGTTGCATGTGCTAATAGCCATTGCAAGCTGCAGATTCTGATTGGTCTGATGAGAAGATATTTGGTCCATGGGATGGTGATGGGGATCGTGTCATTTAGGTTCAGTATGCTTCTCCATTTCTCTGTCAGCCTTGGATTTGGGTCCCTGGTTTGTAGTCCGAGGTTATACCTGAACTTTACGTCGTATTCTGTTATCGTCCTCGACTTTCCGGTGGCGCCCAGGTCCCACACCTATTCTTTTGGGTCGAATACCAGCTCCTTAATGCTGAGTTCCGACTGGAAGACGATCCAGGGTTTCCTGTGAGAGACTCTAACCTTCCTGAGAAGGTAGGTTTCTATTTGTTCATTCTGTGGTGTTCTGTTTAGGACCTCTAGTTCGTATATGTTGTGTTTGATGATGGGGTAGGATATGAACTTGGCCTGGTAGTTAGTCGGGTCCGGTTTGATCACAAAGCGGTAGGCTCTTGTTGGTGGGGTCTGTGTGGTGAGCAGTCCCCAGTCTCCAGGTTTCCACGTGTGCGGTTCTTTAAGGAGGGTCGTCCATGGGCGGGGAATGCTTTGAGGGATTTCTGACAGGTTGGTGTTCAGTAGGTGGCACCCTTTTAGGGGAGTGCGGAGGTCCTGTTCGGTTAACCATTCTTGTCGGTCCTCAGACCACAGATGTTTGACCTGCCATACTCCTTTCTCCACCCAAGACAGCCATTTATGGTCTTTGGCTCGGAGCGTCCATGGACTGCCCTCTATGTCTTTAATCCAGGGATTGCAGAACAGGGGCTGTCTTAAGACTTCCTCTTTGTTGCTCGGGGACCCTCTCTTTTCTGGCATCGGGCGGCGCCAGGCTTCAGGATCGGTAACCAATAGGGGGTGGGCGTAATGGGGGGTCGATTGGGGGTCAGGGGGTTGGTTCTCCTAGCAGGTCTTCCGGATTTGATTGTCCATTCCTTTGCCATGATCCAGAACAGGCCACTCATGTTCGGTGGGGACGCTACCGGTGCCAAATTCCTTAAGCTGTCCACCGCCATCTTGGTCCACCAGAGGGCTTGTTTGATGAGGATTTTGATTATCCATTTTATTTGGAGGGCAATCGCTTCCTGTTTAGGGTCGATTACACCTAGCCCGCCTTCGTGTGGTTTCCTGCACAAGCGGTTATCGGGTAGCTGAAAATTCAGGAATGAAAATTCTGAAGTGAGAGTTTTGGGCAGTCTGAAAATCGTGAATGATCCTGAAGTGGTGAAAGGTCCGAAGACCCTGAAAACCACCTGTTTAGTCAGGCTGCATCCTGAAGTGGTGAAGGGTGTCCTGAAGTGGTCAAGTGAGAGTTTTGGGCAGTTTGAAAATCCTGAATGGTCCTGAAGTGGTGAAAGGTCCAAAGACCATGAAAACCACCCTTCACCACTTGAGAATGCAACCTGCCTAAACAGGTGGTTTTCAGGGTCTTCGGAGCTTTCACCGCTTCAGGACCATTCAGGATTTTCAGACCTGAATGGTCCTGAAGTGGTGAAAGGTCCGAAGACCCTAAAAACCACTTGTTTAGGCAGGCTGCATCCTGAAGTGGTGAAAGGTGTCATGAAGTGGTGATGAAAAATACGACTGTTGTTAACCTTCTCTTGTTTCCTGATGACAGTTTGCCAAGCCACTTTGTTTATGCAGGTGGTTCTGTTGGGATCGCCAGTCCACAGGTAAACCCTGGCTCTAGCCTTCAACATCTTCAGGTCGTCATCCGGAAGGGACCATATGGAGGCCATGTACCATAGAGTGGAGAATACTGTTGTGTTGATGATCAGGGCTCTCCCTAGCAGGGAGGCCTGGGTTTTGTTGCAGATGGCAAGACGGGTTATTGCTCTGGCGATTAGAGTCTCTCCCATACCTTGCCAGATGCCATCTCTGTTAACCATAACGCCCAGGTATCGGAGTGCTTGATTGCCTGTGGTCCATGACATTGGGGTGGCTGAGTTTGGAGGTTGGGGGGGTGTGCCTTCTGCTAGCCACCATCCTTCCGTTTTTGACCAGTTTACCTTCATTTCTGAGGTGAGTCTAAAGGCTTCCGTAGCGCGGGCTAGGGCTTGGAAGGAGGAATTACTAGCGCGAATGAGGACTGTGAGATCATCTGCGAACATCTGTGCGGTAGGGAGAATGAAGTCGTGGAGGGGGTTGTGGTTTTGTTCGGCCAGGCGGTCTATGGATGGATCCTTGCGGAGGAAAGATGCAATGACTTCCATTATGTACAGGAATATTGGGGGTGCAAGGGGGTCGCCTTGACGGACCGATCTCGATATCGGATACGTTTCTGACAATATTTTGTTTATCTACACCCTGCCCGTGGCATCCCCATAGAGCACTCTTACCCGCTCTTTGAAGTTTGGGCCGACTCCCATCTTTTCCATACAACTGTGTAGGAAGTCCCAATTGACTTGATCGTAGGCCTTTTCAAAATCGAAGAATAGGATCGCCGCTTACATCCATTTTCCTGTGATCTTCTTTGCAGCCTCGTTTAGAGCTATCACATTATCTAGAATATATTGACCCAGAATGGATCCTACTTGGTCAATATGAAAGCATTTGTCTGTTAGTTTTATGATTCTGTTTGCTAGAGCCTTTGCTAGGATTTTGTAGGGCATTGTGAGAAGTGAGATTGGTATGTAGTTCTTCAGGTCCTCCGTGTCGCATTTCTTGTAAATTAGTGAGACTATGCTGGTGCTTAGAGATTGACCCAGGCCTGCTTTTTCCCTGCTATCATTGATAAAGTTCAGGAGGTCATTTCCCAGTATAGGCCAAAACTGGATCCAAAATTCTTTGGACAGGCCATCGATTCCTAGTGCTTTGTCATTTCCCATCCCGGACAAGGCCACGTTGTCGAGCGCATCGGTCCGGCACCGCACCGGGCAGGGCAGGACCCTCCCGGCTGTGTCACGCAGGAGTCGGTCTAGATCCTCGTCGCGAATATGCATGGAGCTTTCGCAAACCGCTCCGGCCGAGTGCGCCAGCCATACCCCTCGCGAGCCCCTACGGCAGGATAGGGCCTACGCGAGGCACGACTTACCTCCACCTTACGCCATCGCCACAACCCGACGCAACTCACTCTCTTACTAACTTTTAATCTACTAATCTCTTCATCAAACTAACTACAAAATCGGCGTCGCCCTCACCGAAAACCCCCACTCAGACCCTTTCTCCTCTTAAATCAAACAAAAGACGACCGATCTGCACTCGTTTCTTCTTTTTTTTCCTTCCCTCCGTCGACCTCTCACGCACCCCTTTTTCTGTCTAACTCTAATCTTACTAACCTACTACTAAATCTAATCTTACCATGCAACTCGTCCGGGGCAAAACCCCGGAATCGCCCCTTTCCCCGCCCGATTCTGTTGGAAATCGAGGGAGATATCGAGTTCCTTCCTCCTGCAACGACCATGTCCCCTTTCTTCGACGGTCCCGGACGATGCTTCTCTCTTTTATCTCTCAATCTACTAACCTTTAGTCAAAACTAACCCGACGGTTATGCTCGCCCGGGGCTAAAACCCCTACTTACCGTTACTACTTACCTATGATCGTGAGGCATCAACAACGCTTCCTCTTTCTAGCAGCGCCCCAGCTCTCAACCCGCCATCTCCAACCTTCTTCTATTGTCGAATGTACCCAGCACGATTTCGCGTCTAGGCCCATTTGTCCCCTCTTTTTTTTTCTTTTTGTCTCTGCGATCAGCCTCCTGCCCGCCCCGCTCAACCTCGGCATTATTTTTCGATCCGACAGCGTTCCGCAACGGTCTGCCTGTCGGTGTCGGTATCTAGGGAACTTCTGAGGGACCCGC